ATATAATGTGTGTTCAGAAAAAGTTTATTCTATCGTGGGATGCAACAAACCTATGGAACGAGTGTCTTGTGTTTAGAAAAATTTTGTTTACACTATGGACAAAAAACAAAAGTTTCATAATATTCCAGTAATGGGCACATATACTTCGACAGATCTATGTGCCACGACCAACGTCAGCTACGTTGAAAGAAAGACATCGTTGCTCTAATATACATGACAATGTTGGCATACGTGTACACAATAACTCATGCGATATCATGATACAATGAACGGTATAACGATACAATAGATGCAATGAAACACAACTGCTTACAAACGAAATGATGAATAACTACTCAACAGGTGCTGCTTAGCACCACGTCGGTGGAAAAATGAGTTTTACCTTTTTGTGTTCAACATTCACGAAAGGGCACGACCAGTGCTGCAGAAACTCATGCTCCTTGAGGAAGAAAAGCTCCTCAGAGAGGAATGCAAGCATCTCTCATGTCATTCTCGCCAGTATTGGCCACAAAGCACGCCGGCGGCGATTGGCAGCTACGGCCTCACATTGGTTTCTCCAAAGGCTGAACAGCCCCGCAACTATTGAAAGAGCGGAGAAGTGGCCGCGCAGAAATCGGCCATTGGACACAAAAGTTCGCACACCCTGTCCCCGAAAACCAGCGTTCACCGCATGGCAAAAAAGGCGGGAGACCACATATTAAATCGTCGCATGTCGATTGGTCTTGACCATGACGCAGTTGGGGCAAGTGGAAAGTGCGAACCACCTGCCACCGCTGAAAACAATCTCGCGTAGGGAGCAAGCCCCAGCCCAACCACCAGACAATGTCTCTGAAATGCCCTGGCAACACTGCTGCAGTTATTGGTTTCCAAGCGCGGCTCATTATAGATTGACGATGCTGAGGCACCAAGGGCCGTAGAAGGGCGGCCATTGTGTCCACCACTTTAGAATCATCTACCTCTATCTCTGGGCACGTAGCTTCTAAACGTCAGTGAAATGCCAGAAGGGCCCGATATAAAGGTGGTAATTTAGTTGATTGGGGACCTTGGTTAATTTGGCTATCCGGCAACAAGACGCGTAGTGATGGCCCCAGATGGTAGCGAGCCAGTGTCTGAGCGGGCGTGCCATCATTGGTTAGTATTCGCAAAAAAGTGTGGAGGCACAAGGTAGAAGTTGTGACGGAAAAGTCAGGGAATGCAAATCCGGGGAATGAAAAATTACGCACCTAATGCTTTACTTCATGACTGTTGATTAACCAAAAAGGAAAGCAGATCTACCCTAAGTAGTCGTAGAAAGCCTCCATACAAAGCCTAACTATATCTAAACTTTCGCCTGCCTATCACCTATCAAAAAAATGTTTCATTTGCAATTTGCCCAACACGCGGACAACAAAAGTAAATTGAGTTTCCGTTTTATTCTTTAAGCAAACCACTACAAGATGAAGAAAACGTTCGAATGATGATGATAAAATATCCGCTCCAAATTTGTCTTCAAACGAGGGGCCGGATCTGGCTAAAGATGCACTAATAGTCTTATGAATAAATAAATAATAAATAATTAATCTAAAATGGACTCTGAATCAAATGTTGGTGTTCGAAGCGGTTTTCTCAAACCTTCTCAGAGATGTACCTAACGATGCGTAAGCGTAGAACTTTATTGTAGCTTGCAGCTTTCGTTGTAGCGTTGTTTTCGTTATTTATTTAGCCTTGTTTCAAGTGTTTGTCAGCGTCTGTAAGGGTTCTACAGTGACCACATCCCGAGACCACCGAAACTCCGATGTGGCACTAAATTTCCACATATTATGCATTTTATTCGTACTTGATAATACCGTCTTTACACCTTGACCTTGAGAGGGCTTTCAAATGCACAATCATATCTACGCCAACTCAACGTGAAACAGTCCGCCCTTTGTGGTCCGAGATGTACATCTCTATAAAGAAAAGAAGGTATAGCAGAAAATAATTTTTTTTAGCGGTGCTTGGATTGAACCCTGGATTCAAACTTCATTTCATGCTCTGCGGACGAAGGAGAGATGTTCATAAAAATGGAAGAAATAAAGAAGGACGCTATTTTGTGCCCGTTTCAAGACAGTTTTTTCGTTTTCGCTACACCCCAGCAGCACTCATGGTTCGACAACATTTCGTACCTTGACGCCTTTCATACCACATCGCCTGAATTTATGTATCGCTTAGCCTTACACAATACATTGCTTATCGCTGCAATTATAGCTTGCAATTATAGTAACTACTTAACAAAGTAAATATCGTAAACCAAAGTAAAACGCAGTTGTGCTTTTTATTGTCGTTCCATTTTCTATTAAAGTAGGCAAAGTCCGACTCTATTTGTTTGGAAGGTGTAACTGTATATATGACATAGAAATCAAATTGGTTAATAATTTTTTAAATATAATCAGCCGGGGTGGTCTGCTTACATACAGTGGTTGCGGTGCTCGGATTTCCAGCTGGAGGTCATGCGTTCAATTCCTGCCACGGTGGTCCATAGACCTAAACTTAGCCCATAGGCTTAAACTTAAGAACCCCGGTAAATAAACCCAACTGGTCGAATCATTTCGAGCCTTCTTTTCCGGCGTGCCTGATAATCACATCGTGGTTCTGTGACATGATATCAGAGAGATTAAGAATGAACAGGAAAAAAATCGGCGATTAATCGATACAAAAAAGTTACACCATCTCCCTCCGAAGGGAACCATGTGTAGATGTGAAGCAGCGCACGCTAACGCTTACACTGGCGGCGGCGTTGACACTGGCGCTCATCGCTGCGTTGCGCAGAAGAGAACCTGGGGAGCCGCAAAGCATGCAGTGACAGACCGGTGTTTTCTGCTGGAACATGCCAACCGCTGCTAATGGACAATGACAGATAGAAGACTCCGATTGGACATTGAGACCTGCAGTCCTCTTTTAGTTAACATGCATGCTGTGGATTTTCATTGTTTAACAACGCACAGGAGAAATATTTCACCGGCACTACTTTGTGGAGATCAAGATTCAGTGTCCATGTGTATGAAGTGACCAGTTAACGGATGTTCAGCGTGGGCAGTTGGTTACATTTGGTTAGTGAGCTATCTCAGTGCAGTTTCCGTTTCCACTATGAAAGGCCCATGAGAGGGCATCATGCTCTCTCATAGTAGAGTAAAAAGTGCTCTAAAATTGTTAACCATTTTTTCTACACTAAATATTACAGGGTAGGGTCCGAGTCGTCGTGAACTCGTTCACGGCATAATTATTGTCAATACGACCTCATAAAGTGTGAAGTACTCGGGACAGCTTAATGCTCCCACGTAGTATAGTACCTGGTACCCTAAATCGTTACCCACTCTTTATAAAAAGAGCAAATGTTTATTTTTTGTACATACATAGCCTAAATAAACTTTTTCTAAACAGCATTTATTTCCGTACTGCGAGCATTTCTTGCATCTATCTGTGTATCTACCTTTGCCACTTACGTTTGGGGGCTCTCGTGATTAGCTACTTAAGTTGGTATGAACCAAAATTAGTAAGGAAGGGTATGATAGTTTGACGAATATGGTGCCGTGGAAAAAACATGAATAATGTCACAATCCCATCGCGTACGTCATCAAAGAGTTCTTGCCAGACAGTGGTGCATACCCGCGGGTGCATATGTGCCACTGGTATGCTGGTATGGCCACAGGTGATTGACACTCCGCATCTACCCAGGAACGACGAGAAAACACATGGCCCCGCCACGGTGGTATAGTGGCTAAGGTACTCAGCTGCTGACCCACAGGTCGCGGGTTCGAATCCCGGCTGCGGCGGCTGCATTTCCGATGAAGGCGGAAATGTTGTAGGCCCGTGGGCTCAGATTTGGGTGCACGTTAAAGAACCCCAGGTGGTCGAAATTTATGGAGCCCTCCACTATGACGTCTCTCGTAATCATATAGTGGTTTTGGGACGTTAAACCCGACATATCAATCAATGAACGAAAACACACATGGCCAATTCCGACGCGTGAGCGTTAAGGGAAACCTGGAATCGGCAGCGCTGTCCCGATGAATGAAAATAATACATGTTAGGGACTTGCCAGGAATCGAACCCAAGCATTCTGCGGGGTAATCAAGAATTCTACCACAAAGCCACGCCAGGTCTCGGAACTACTTTTTCCAATTTAGGTGAAGGCTGCCGTGCTGGTTATTTATAAACAATAAATATGTGTTCCTATGGTACAGCAGTAGCGTCAGGTTAGCTTCAATTGTAGTTAGATGCCATGCGCTGAAGTTGATTTATGTAGCAGCGTCCAGGGCTACCATACTCGCGAGCACCAGCTATTCATATCAGCTTATTGCTTCTGTTGTTGCTAATACTCATGTTACTGTTGGCATCATTGCGCAAGTGCAAACAACTAGTTATATAACAATCTGCAACTCTTGAACATATTTCTATGCGTGAAACATGTCATACATGTATGTGGCATCGTTTTATAACGCGTCACTAAATAAAAATTGCGACAAGGTCACCTTTCCTTCGCATGCTTCGCATAACGTGGATTCGCAAAGTACTTGAGATCTACCGACTTTTTCAATTAAGGAACTCATTAGCAGACACCGCCTGCGTCGGCATTGCGAAGCGAACGAGGGGGTAGCGTAGGAAAGAAGAGAGAGGGAGGGTATGAGCATGAGCAAAGGGTGTGTAAGCACCGCTGGGTGGAATGCCTAGAGGGGAGAGAGGAGGAAGCGACCACCGGACTGACCATAACAGCTTCGCATCTAAAATAACGCTCATCGATTTGGATTCAATGATAAACAGTGGCTAAAGAGGTGAACCGTCAATTGATGAAAAAAGTTAATCGACCATACCAAGAAACGCATTAGCCAAGGCATAATAATTTTCATTGGAGGGGAACTGCATCTACTACTAGTGCTGTACTAGTTTTGTTAATGAGAGAACTAAGTCTTGTTTTCAAGGCATTGAGTAGTGCGTTCCTTAATGATGAGCGTGCAGTGAATGTATTATCAACACACTTACAGGTGGAAGAACTGCGGCAGCGGCTGGAGGAGAAGAACAAGCTGATAGAGAAGAAGACTCAGCAGGCGCTAACAGCTACGCAGGAGCGCAACCACCTAAGCCAAGAACTGCAGGAGCTTAGAGACCACATGGATATCAAGGACCGAAAGATAAACGTGCTTCAAAGAAAGGTGGGTTTGCAAACGTTGTTATATCAATGCAGAAACAGCAAGATTTGACGATGACACTTCTAGGTTGGTTGGCGCGTACCCACTCAGGGGAATCGGCCAAGAGTATCCGAGATAGCAGCAACGAGTTAGAAGCACTCTGATGCCTCTCCTTTGTTAGAGTATTTCCGCAAACCTTCATGGCTGTTTCGATTTATGTAATTATTTATGTAATGTAATGTATGTATTATGTGATGTATTTATGTAAGCTATCACCATTCTGCCATCCCCATTATATCCGTCAGCCTGCGTATCTGCGTTATAGCAGTCATTACTTTCTTTACTATATACTTGGAACTACAGGTCACCACGTCATACTTGTTTTGATTTTGTTATGATGGAACGCTTCGTTGTTGTCCGATATGAGCCTATGTGTGCAACAGTGAAGAATTTGTGCGTATTTTAACGATGACTCTCAGACCATCATAGCTGTGATTACTCTTTTTTATTATTGCCCACTGCATTTGCAAGAGCCTCATTGTTAGCCGCAAGTGTATATTTGGAAGACGCAGTCATGATTTTAATGAATGAGGATCTTATCCGCGCTGACTAGATGCATACTATGCGTGCGGAATAATAACTGATTTAACTTTCGCTAGGAGCTGGCCTTTTAGGCGCGTGTATAACCAGTCGTTAGCCAGTTAGGCGTTATTGCCATTAGCCGGTACAACAAAGTACTATCGGCGTCAAAGAAAGTCCGAACAGTCGCAAGCTTTAGCAATGGCATAGTGCACACCATGCACTCATCATCATTGACAGGTGGGCAGTACTCCGTTTTGGTAGCACTGCGCACGTCCATGGTCATTAGTGTAGGGCGCGCACTGTGCAATTGCTAATGTTTGACATCACTAATACATGCCCACTGCCCAAAGCTAAAAACTGCCCTCTGTATTCATATTTTGTGGAGAAGTACATGGCTGTAACAATGCTGAGATGTTGAAACAAACCAATGCTGAAAACGAACCAATGCTGAAACGAACCATGCAGATCGAGAACCTGGAGGACCTGCTGAAGGAGAAGGACAACCAGGTGGATATGGCGCGTGCGCGGCTGTCGGCGATCCAGGCGCACCACTCGACCTCGGAGGGCGCCCTGTCCAGCCTGGAGGAGGCCATCGGTGACAAGGACAAGCAGATCGTGCAGCTGCGTGAGCAGCGTGACCGCGCCGAGCAAGAACGCAACGAGGAGCGGGACCTGCACGAACGCCAGCTGGCCGAGTACCGCATGAAGATGCACGCGCTGGAGAGCGAGATGGACAAGCTGCAGAGCCGTCTGGAGAAGGCCAATGCCGAAAAGGAGCGTCTGGAGGCACGTCTCGAGAACTCCCAGTCCGAGTTAGGACAGGCGCGCGCCGAGCTGGACAAGATCCAGGCCGAGGTGAGCCGCTCGTCCGCCGACTGGGAGCGACTTCGCGGTGAGCACGCGCGACTGTCGATCGAGAATGACCGCTTTCGCGAGCACGTGGGCCGCCTCGAGCAGCCCACGGTGACATCATTGTCGTACCGGAGCGCCACCAGCGTACTGCCGCTGCAACAGCAGCAGCACGCGTCCGACGAGCGCACCCAAGAAAAACTCGACCGCGTACAGGCCGAGCTGCGCCGGGCGCAAGCTGAACTGAGGATGACGCAGGCTGAGCAGGAGCGGGCGCGGGGCGAGCAGGAGCAGTTGCAGGAGAAGCTGGAGCGCTCTCAAGGGGAAGTGTACCGGCTCAAGGCGAAGCTAGAGAATGCGCAGGCCGAGAGGGAGGCTCTGCAGGAGGAGTACGACCGCGTGCAGGGCATCGTTGCCCGAGGCCAGTCTGACAAGGACGCCGCTCTGGCCGAAGCGGAGACGCTTCGCGCCGAGCTAGAGCGGGTCCAGAGCGCTCTCACGAAGGCGCAGGTGTCGCAGGAGAAGACGCAGGCGACACTGGATCGGGCGCAGCTGGAGGCCGACAGGCTTCAGGAAAAGCTGGACAAGGCACTGGCCGAAACGAGGAGACTGGCAGCCGACCGCGAGCGCTGCCAGGACGAGGTTCAGGGCTTGCAAGGGCAGCTGGCACAGGCTCAACTGCAGGCTCAGCGGGCGCACAAGGAGAAAGATGCTCTGCAGTCAGAGCTGGAGCAGACCAGAGAGAAGGCCGATAGGGCGCTGGCGTTGCAGCAGAGGCTGCATAAGGAACGTGACGCCGCCCAGGCTGAAGCGGATGCACTGAGAGACCGTCTTGACTTACTACAGAGTCAACTAGCCAAAGCACATAAGGAGCGGGAGAACGTCCAAGCAGAGTTTGAAGTGATGCGTGACAGGCATGACAAGGCGGCTCTCCAAGCGGAGCGGGGACGAGCCGAGGCCGACGCAGCACAGGCCGAGTTGCGGGCAGCGCGCGACCGCGCCGACAAACTCCAGCTGCAGCTGCAGAAGGCCCAGGAAGAAAGAGAATTGTGCAGACTGGAACAAGACAAGCTCCGTGAAAAGCTTGACAGAGCACAAGCGGAAAGCTTCAAAGCTCAGACCCGCTTGGACCAAGGCCAGGCAGAGGCTGACCGCTTGGCCTTGGAATTGGACAAGTGTACTGTCCTGCTGGCAAAGACCAAGGAAGATCACAAACGTTCTCAAGAAGAGTTTGAAGGCTTGCAGGATCTGTATGTGAGAACAAACGCTCAGCTGGCCAAAACCAAGGAGGCCGAAGAGAAGACGCGACAGGACCTCGATCGCTGTCAAGTTGAGCTGGAAGTTGCCCGCGATCGTTTGGATAAGGCACAGCTGGAGGCGCGCCGTCTTCAAGCCGAGCGCGATCGGCTGCAAGCCGAGGTAGACCGCATGTCTCTAGATATGGACCGCATCCAAACGCAAGTGGGGAAGACGCAGACACACCACGAGAAGTCGCAGGAAGAACTGGCGAGAATGCAAGTGGAGTTGGAAAAGTTGTACGAAAAACTGGATAGGGCACAGACCGAGCTTCGCAAGACACAGAACGAGAAAGATCGCCTTCAATCAGAGAAAGAGAGCCAGCAGGCTGAACTGGAACGCTACCAGGCACAAATGGCCAAGTACCACAATGTTCAGGACAAGTCTCAAGCCGACTTCGAACGGCTGCGTATCGACGTTGAAAAGATGCGTGACAAGTACGAAAAGACGCTCGGTGAACTCAACAAGACAAGCGAGGAATGTGCCAAGCTCAAGACCGAGCTGGACCGAACGCGGTCAGAAAAAGGCGTTACCCAAGAAGAACGACAGGCGCACGCCAATGAAATCGAACGGCTTTACATCGAGGTTGAAAAGGCGAAGGACAAGTACGAAGGCGCCAAGCTCGAGGTCAAGAAACTTCAGGATGTACGCACACAGCAACAAGCCGAAAACGAGCGGTTGCGCAGAGCACTGGAAGCCACACAGGCAGAACTCAAAAAGTCCACCGCGACAGCGGATGATCGGCAACGCCAGGAGATTGAGAAGTTAACAGCCGAATGTCAAAGGCTTCGCGAGAGGGCCGACCGTGCAATCCAAGAGAGGGACTCCCTGCTTACTGAGCTGAACAAGGCTCAGGCGACCCTGAATACGCTGCACGAGGCTAGCGAAGGAGACCGGCAGAAGAGCACATCTGAAGTTGAGCGTCTCAGACACCTTTTGGGTCGCTCCGAGGAAGACCTCCAGAAGACAGTTGCCGAGAACAGCAGATTACAGATGGAAGTGGAACGGTTAAAACAGGACGTTGAGGACGCCGAGCGCTACATCTCAAGCGTGCAAGAGAGCTCTCAAAAGGACCGAAACCAACAGGAAAGTCTTAAAGCGGAGACGATACGACTTCAGGGCACCCTGGAGAAGGTACAGGAGGAACTTCGGAAGACTTCGCAGGAACGAAACAGACTCCAGATTGAGGTGCAGGAGTTGGTTGGTGAACTGGAGCGACGAAGTGGTGCGGACAACGCTGCGCGGGCTCAGGAGGATGCGAGGATACGGGGCGAGATCGAGAAACAGCAGCAAGAAGTGCAGCACCTGCACAAGGAACTCAAGAGGAGCACTCAGCAGATGCAGAAGCTCGAGGCCGAGAACAAGGAGCTCAGAGCCAAACTGGAGAGGGCACTGGACTCCGCCGCTCACGCGCAAAAGCAGTCTGAAGAGACGCAGGCCGAGACTGTGAAACTTAGAGAGGCGAACCGAATGCTGAAGCAGCAGCAACAGCAGCTGCAGCAACAGGCAGCCGGAGCCATGAAGGAAGGCGAGCGGGAAAAGATGCAAAGAGAGCTGGACAGGATGCAAGTGGAAATGGAGAGCCAGAGGGAGGAGGCATCCAAGCTGAGAAAGCAGCTCGAGCAGGCAAGAGCGGAAATCAAAAACTTTTCTGTAGAACGGGACCGCTTCCAGGAGCAGTTGGAGAAGCTGGTTCAGGAGATCGAACGGAGGGAGGTCAGTGGCGCCGCGTGGGTTCGGTCAGCAAATGACCACCACCCGGCATGCCCGTTATGTTACTTCGACCCTGGCCATAGCGGCACGCTACTTCTGTTCTGTTGGTGAATGGTTCAGTGAATCTTTTCCCTGAGTTCTCCTGCACTATTTTTGTTACATGTAGGACATTGATTTGAACGTTGTGATTTATTTTATAGGGCTTAGTTCTATACTTTGTCCAGTTTGAAAATTTTAAAGGCTTTTCGTTATTTTCTGCTTCTACACTACAGTGATTATTCTTTCTTCGTGTGTTATTTTCGTGATATTGCGCATGAATGCACGTCACTTTCAGCATAGCTTGTAAATTATAATTTTTGCATGTCCATTGTTATTATTGAAGTTCAGCATGTTTCTTAATGACTTCGCTGTTCGGTTCATTGCAAGTGTTTTTCTTTAATAATGTTCTCCTATTAGTGTATTATTTGTAATATCACGTGGTGGATAGTGTGCTGGAAACGTGAAAAAGAGGCACAAGTAAAACACCATATTTACTCGAAAAGCAATAACAGCAAACCCTGTGAAAGTTACGGAAGTTTGTAGAGCCGTATACTGTTAGGTCTGGTTGCTAACAAATCAGAGCATTCTGCAGTATTACTCGTAGAAATTCTCAGTAGAGATCTGCTAACAGAAGACGCACAGGTGTTTCAACCTTGTGAAGCTAACCAGGAAGAATATTACATAGTCGTCAACTGCATTTCATGCTACAGACTTCTTTTGAATAACCGTGCACCGGCTTTTTGCAATGCGCGCTGGAAAATTGTTTCACGCGGGCTTTGCTGCCACAAACTGTAAAATCAGGCAACCTCAGCGACCACATGTAGACATTATCGTGCACAAACACCATCGCACAACTAATGTTCGCCTGCATTTTGTTTTCATTCCTTAAATATTACCCTCCACCTGGCATAGGGTGGCAAGCTAGAGTCTTGCGTACGCTAAACATTCCTACTGTTACATTTTCCCTGCATGCTTTCTTGTACCAAAAGAGCATGCTCAATGAACAAGACAGCAAATAGTCGTGCATGTCACAAAACAATCCCCCGCTACGAGTTTCGCTAACCCCGCTGATTGTTGCGTGCTGCGTTGTAGACGGAGATCCAGAATCTCCGAGCCAAGGGGGCTCAGGCTCAGCCCAAGATGGACGCCGAGGTAGAGGCCCTCAAGAAAAGGCTCGACGACCGCCAGAAGCAGCTGGATGAGTTCGAAAAGAGGCTCAAGAAGAAGAAGGAAAAGCTCGAACAGGCAGAGGTCGCCATGCAGAAGGTACGCACAACTTTCTTTTCTGTAGCGCGTTCTCACAGCTTTCAGTGTTTCACCTCCTGTGCACACTCCGCTCGTGTCTCTTGGAGCGCCATTGTTAATGCAAGAACGTCTCTTGGTTTATTGTGCGACCGTTTCTGATCTTACCGCATTTGAACATTATACTGAACCGGGCGGTGACAAACGGTGAATTTTCGCCCGTAGTGTGCGTTTATTTGCTTAGTAATGAGATGAAATGAACGGTAGTTTAGTATTTGTTTGGATAGTGTTGTTACATTGCCAATGAATCGGAAAAAAGTATTTGACAATTGATCGTCGCTAAATCGCGCTCTAAGCGTTTGCCTTCCTTCCAGGACTATGGTCACATAAAACCGGGTGTTGTGTTGTGGCGCCACCTGTGAGTGGCGCGCACACTGAGTGCGCCCTAGTGTGTACTCTGTTCAACCATAGCCTCCTATATTTTTTTGTGCCCGCGCATTAGCGCTAAATACATACGCGCCATCCGTCCCTTATAGTTTTGGCGCTCGCCGCCAGATGCCGCACCGATCCCATAATAACAGCAGACGACGCGGCCTATGCACGCTTGCGTTTATGACGGTCTAGAAACCGTCTACATTGCATTGGATTGTGCGTATACGTTAAGAAGTGCGCACACACCAAATTTTTAACACAAGCACTGTATGCAGAATGCAATGTGAGCTTTGTTATTTGATTTCGCGCTCAAAGCTTGAGCACTTTTCGAGACAATGGTTTGACATGAAAATCTTTGCCAAGTCGTGTTTGTCAGTCACACTCGTCGCGAAGTTCAGAAAAAGTGGGCGGAGAAACTTCACGAGCACAACCTCCAAAAGTTTTTATGATGTCCCGGGGTCGAGCACTTGAGTTTGTCACGTTTCTGTAGTATTTGCGCGGCGTTGTCAACGGCAGCCTTCAGTGGCTGATTCATCTTTCTCGCTCTTGCGAGGAAAACTTCCGCGTAATTCTTTAGAGAATTTAGAACCATTACGAGCTCAGTTGACGGATACAGGAGTACACCTGGGTGGATATCTCCACATTCAATCAGAACATGCTCCGCCGTTTCCTTATCTTTCCCGCAGCATGTGCATTGTTCTTCTTCTTTACTGAATCTTGCTTTATAACTACGCGTTCTAAGGCAACCCGATCTCGCTTCAAACAGTAAAGCGCTTCCCCTTGAATTATCGTAAAATGCCTCCCTCCTTATTTCATTTTTGCCCTTTCGGTAGTTACTCAAAGCCGGTTTTTTCTCCATAGCTGCCATCCATTCTCTCGTTTTGCGCCTCGGCGCTCCGCTAGGAGCGCTCGCATCCCCATAATAGCTCGGGGGACGGCGCTGAGGGACCGACCGCTCGGGCACAAAGTTATAGAGGAGGCTATGGTTCAACAGATGTCGTCTGTAATGGAACACACGTGATTGCATGCAGCCAATCGCATGTGTCCGTTGTGTGTTGTTCAATGAACGGCCGCTGGCCCGCTCAGTCTTTGTTGGGTTCCCGCGGGCTTCGGTCACTCATATTCTACTGCGCGTGTCAGGGACGCGTGCCGGCGCACTTTGCGTCTCGCATTCAGTCGTCGGGCCCTCGCCGTCGGACGCAGCTTGCCGACACAACAAAATGGCGACGAGGATGGGATACGGCAAGGAGTTGTCCTTGGAGAAAGCGGAAGAAGTCGGTCGGACGCTCGAAGCATTGTCCTTGGCGAACCAAGTGTTTGCTCCCAGTCAACCTGAACATGTCGAAGCCGTTGGGCACGGCGCCCAATATGGCGGCGCGAAGAGAAAGAATGGCCGCGCCAGTCAGGGAGGCCGTGACGTCATGTCACCAGGTCCGGGAGGCCAAGATGGCGACTTTCAGCCGCAGTCGTCGTTGAGGTACCGTGCTCCAGTCGCAAATGATAAGTCTCAAGGTGACTTCCAACCTCAATTGTGCGACCGCTGCGGAAGCAGAGGGCATCACTCAAGTTTTCGAAATTGTCCAGCCCGAAGTCGACGTTGCATTACGTGCAACGCTTGGGGACATTTCGCGTCGATGTGCCGCAAGACTGCCCCTGTACAGCGCGTCTCTTCGAGGGGAGCTGTCGACGTCGTACCGGAGCAGCAGGCCTCCACTCAGTTGAACTCAACTTCAAGCTCATCAGTGTTATCTTCGGATCGTCCTTTGTTGTCCGTGCTCACAGTTAGCACCTCATCCAGAAAAAACTTAGTCGTCCACGCTGTGGTCGATGGTGTTACCCTGCGACTACTGGTGGATACAGGAGCGTCTGTATTCTTGACGACTGCAGAAGACTTCCAGCGTCATTTCAGCAAACAGCACAGCCTTTCCAAAGCTGTAGTCGACTTGCGAAACTTCTCCAAGAAGCGCATCGGGATCCTTGGCTCCTTCCAAGCTCCAGTCAAAGTGTTGCAGCGGTCTTGCTCCGTGGTCGTCTACGTCACCGATAAGGGCACATCGCTTTTGGGCCTTGGCGCCATTCAGCGACTGGGCATCCAGATTGACGGCGTGTCGTTGACGTGTCGACTCGCATCATGTGAAGTGCAGTGTCCCTCCAACGTGCCTTCGGGCTTCGAGCAGCTCTTCAGCGACGAGTTGGGTCTCGTCAAGGGTTTCATTCATCGCATTCAACGGCGGCCAGGTGTGACTCCGGTTGCATCCAAGCTGAGACGACTCCCTCTGGCTCTTCGCGATCAGGTGGCGACCGAGTTGCGACGACTCGAAGACTCGGATGTCATCGAACGCCTCGACGCTTCCGAGTGGGTCTCGCCGCTCGTCGTCGTCCGCAAGAGAAATGAAAGCATTCGGCTGTGTGTAGATCTCAGGGAACCGAATGAGGCAGTTATCATCGATGGGTATCCTTTGCCGCATGTTGAAGAGTTGTTGCAGATATTTCATGGAGCCACTTGTTTTTCTAAGCTAGACTTAGCGTCAGCTTATCACCAGCTGTTGTTAGAGGAGAGCAGTAGAGACTTAACGACGTTCATCACGCATGATAGCTTGTTCAGGTTTAAGCGTGTCTGTTTTGGTCTCGTGTCTGCGCCTGCAGTTTTTTAAAAAATAATGTCCCAGATTTTAAAAGATTGCAAGAATGTAATTTGCTATCTGGATGATGTCCTTGTGTGGGGTAAGACTCAGTCTGAGCATGACGCGAGCCTATTCGAAGTCTTGACTTGCATAGCCAACAATGGCATGAATTTGAATGATAAATGTCTTTTTTCCGTGAAAGAACTTAGCTTCTTGGGACACCGGATTTCAGCTGATGGTATATCGCCGTTAGAAAGTAAAGTAAAGGCTATAGTAAATACCCCAGCTCCTACAGACATTAAGTCTTTACAGTCATTTTTAGGTCTGGCAGGATACTATGCCAAGTTCATTGATCACTATGCAGACCTAGTTGAACCGCTTCGTCTCATGCTCAGGCAGGGCCAAAAGTTTTGCTGGTCGGAGGATGTCCAACGCAGTTTTAACCAGTTGAAAATGCACCTGACTTGTTCGCCTGTCATTAAGGTGTTTAATCCTGAGCTACCTGTGGTGGTTACAACCGATGCATCTGACGTGGGCATCGGGCGGGGCTGTGTTACAGCAGCGGTATGGTCCTAAGCTTGAAACAGTAGCCTTTGTGTCGAGAACCTTGTCAGATACTGAAAGAAAGTGCTCCGTGGGTGAATGCGAAGCGCTTGCTTGTCTATTCGCGAGTGAAAGGTGGCATATTTACCTCTGGGGTAGACGTTTCACCCTTAGAACCGACCGTCGGGCTGTAGTTGCTTTGTTAGCCGCAGGTGATGCAGGCCGACGGCCTTTAAGGATTTCGCGGTGGTCAGCTAGACTTTTGTATTACAACTTTGACATAGAATATTGCAAGGGCTTAGAAAATGTGGTCGCTGATGCTCTGTCTAGGCTGCCAATTCAGGCCTGTCCAGAACTTAACAAGGTTGAAGAAATAGTATCTTTAGTGACATCTCTAGTTGACAAAGAAACCGTCCAACTTGCAACGAATGCAGATGTGGCGTTGCAAAAAGTCTGTGAATGTGTATCCAAGGGCTGGCCTTTTAAGAAGCATATAAAACAATGAGTTAATAGCTTACTTTCATGTTAGGGATGAACTCTCTTGTGTTGACGGATTACTCATGCGTGGTGACCGTGTAGTCATTCCTAGTGTTCTGGTACCTACTTTCCTCCAATTAGCACATGAAAATCATCAAGGGATAGTACGTACTAAGCAACTTCTGCGTGAAAGGTATTGGTGGCCCCAAATGGATCGTTCTGTAGAAGAACATGTCAAGCATTGTCACATCTATCAGCTGACAGACAAGCCAGCCAAGCCGCGTGTAGCACCGTTGCAGCCCGTTGAATGGCCTGAAGGGCCATGGCAAAAGTTGGGTATGGACATTGTCGACCCGTTAAATGTATCTTTTCCCAGGTATCTTGTTACCTTAGTCAACTACTATTAAAAATGGCCTGAGGTTCTTGGCACCAATTCTATCTCCACAGAGGATGTCATTAAGCTGTTGGAATCATTGTTTAGCCGGGAGGGGCTACCAGAGTTCTAAGTAACTGACAATGGTCCACAATTTGTCTCTGTACAATTTCAGAAATATCTAAAGGAACTGGGTATCCGTCATATATTTTCGTCCAATTATTACCCCCAGGCCAACGGTCAAATAGAACGCCTTAACAGGGTTCTTAAGGAACATTTGCAGGTAGCGAGACTTGAAGGTAAAGATGCCTCGAGGAGCATCACACAATTTTTGAGTTTGTATAGGGTCACACCACCTGCGGTGACTGGCCTGTCTCCAGCTTTTTTGCTGCACGGGCGACAACCTCGTTCCAAAGTAGACATTAGCAACTTTAGGATTCGTCCTAAAGTATCGGAGTCGCCCAATGGTTTGCCTCATGTCCAAAATCAGGTTGCAGCGAAACAGAATAAGAGTAAAGGGTATTTTGACAAAAGGTAAGGTGCGCAGCAAACCCGCATAAAGGTCGGCGATTTGG